AACTACGCCGAGGTGATTAATAATAATACTACGATTTGTTCAGTTCCGAGTTGTCTTTACTTTTCGAAAATAGAAATGTGAATGTGTTTCAGCGTGGGCGCGTTATCAGAGGTGGAATAACGCTCTTAAGGCGCGTTCTCACGAGTCAAGTGCAGTTGACCGATAATAGTTGAATATGACTTGAACTAGTTTCCGATCACAACACAAAATATTTTAATTTATTCAATTTTCAACTCAGTTCGATGTGATTCAGTTGAAATAAGTATTTTTATGAACATACTGGAGTAGACGTATGTTTTCCATTGACATCACTTATTTCTGAATATTTCCAATAATAGCATATTCCATGTCCATACCATTTTATGGAAATTTCTATTGAAAGCATAGCAATTTCTATGTATTTTTTTCAAATCAATGGTTTCTGCTAGCTTTACCGTTAAGCTGGCAGAACCAAATCGAGATCCTTCACTTCCTGAAAAATTTGAACTTGCAATAACTTTATATTCACTTCATCATTATTTTGAACATTATTTGCACTTCGTTTGAATCACGCGCAATAAAAGCGGAGATAATTTTCATGAAAATACTGATTAAATAACAATTTTAGACTTAACACTCTTTTAGAAAATTGAAATCCAAATCTCTTATATTCACAGATATTTCAAGTGAGAATAAAGTGTTCCAAAAGAAGAACCAAGTTGACATCTTCAGGAGATAAAGTTTACTCAGCTAATGAAACACGCGTCGAGAAGAGTGTTGCAGTTCTACTGTTTGGGAGAACTGCTGGTTTTGGATTTATTCTTCGCCAGAGGTTCAATATCTACCTTGAAAGAATGTTCTCTTTCCATGAAATTAAACAACTCAGATTTGTAACCTCCCTAATTCTCAAGTTGATCTAGGATTTCATTAAAATCGAAAGGCATGTCGACTGAATCAATTGTTTTTCTATTATCCGACTGCCCGCTCATGTTAAGTAATAAACAACTTCTCCGTGGGATGTTATCACTGCACCGCTTTTAACAAAATACCGAATGAAATAGACATGTTGGTATCCTTTGTCCACATCTAAATGATAATTACGACGTGGGTATGACTTACATCAAGCATTGAACTTGAGACATTACTGAAAATTGACGTAACGTAACGAGAACACTTAAACAAATGAGAATCATAAACTACACCCATTAACCATTAATGTTACACATACTTTCAGAGGAGTTATCAGTAACTTACAGACGGAGAAATGTATTGGAGTGCCGGAAAAGGAATGCAGATTTATCAGAGCACAATGCGTGGCATTTGGCATGCGGGAATTTTTCATTCTAATCACCCGTAGCATACATACTTACATGAGGTAAAAATATATAGGGCGTGCCTAGGAAAACATGGAAGTCTTAAGGAAATGAAAAAACTGTGACATTAGCAACTTTCTTATCAAAATAATTGCTCTGAAAATAGGTTGTTAATCACCCTCCAAATTCACTTTATGGAAGTTTTCTACCAGAGGCCCCTAAACTCAAAGAAATGCAATGCAGGGTGAGTTACGTGTAGTAATTCACTCCCCAATGGTGATCTTCTTCACCTCAATCAAAATACGGGAAAAATTCCATTATTTCCGTTTGTTTTTGATTAAAAGAAAGAGGAATGCTGCTTCGTTTGCAGGTTCACTCAAATCATATAAAAAGTAAAGTAAGGTCTTCCAGTGTTTCTATGGCCTTTCAGAAGGGACTCAAAAGCAAATAGCTCTTTAATTCTCCTGGTGTTCTTTATCTTCTTCAACTTTTTTGTGAATTTTCAAAAGAGAACTGAATTAGCTATAATTGTGAAGAGATGAAGTGCCATTTTATTTACACAATTTTCAAGGATTTGGGTTAGTATCTCATCAAGGCCCGTTAAGGTTTTGTTTATCACATCGTATTTATCAAGGCAGACAAAAAAAATTGGATTTTGTTGTTTGTCCATTAGTGATCTGTCTACATACCACTGATTATTTTTCACAGTGATATTTTCACAGACAACTTGCATTCAAAATATAGTTCTACACACCACTACAATTCAAAACAGAGAAAAGCAGGTCTGCATGGTGAATGGCAGCACCATTTTACAGAGCATGACGAACGCATCTCAGTAGAAGTTATCGCCGAGAAACAATATTGTATAATTTTCAAATGTTTGCTCCTTCATGACATCATCGCAAACATCTGCATTGAAAGGGTTGCTTACTTTTGTAGAATGTCTAGCATGTTCAGATCGTCTCCATCAATGGAATATTGATGGTCTTTTGCACAATCCATAAGAGGCGGGAGGAGAGATCTGCTTTTCCACCAATTCGTTGTCAGATCTCTCCTTCGAATGTGTAATACATGATGCTTTGGACGTCTAGATATGATACAGTATGATTCTGGCAGTGTATTATCTTCGGATCGGGTGTATACTCTCGTTGCATTGAACATTTTTCCAACTGAAATGGCCAGTCGAGTATCGGTTGCGGTTAGATATATATTTGGCAGTTTTTCTCCCACCTTGTATAAACTCATTTGGAAAGATCAATTGTGGGGATACCTTCATGGAATACCAGTAACTGAATAGCCCAATAGAATATAGACCAGCTCCGAGGGAAAAGGGTGAATTTTCTCACTCGGTGCGACAGGAGTGCTAGTCTAGTTTTGTATCATTTGCTCGTGCAGAGTAGAGAATGTAGATTGAAATTAGCTGTGAAACTTTTCCAACCACTAAGGCAGTATATAACACTTATCTATTCAAGCTCCAAAATACTGACACCATCGGTAAGTTGATCTGGGTGATTCCTTGATATCATAGGTCATCAATATCATCCCTTCAATGAATATGAACCTTTTCATATCTGAGCTTGGCTTTCGCAAAGCAAAGTTTCTGCACTGCTCAATTTGCCGATTTTACAGAGGGATTATTTCAGTTGTCAGTCTTCTTTGAAAATTTCCGTTACCAATTTCTGTTCCTGTTGATCTAATCTACATTTTTTTTGTCTTCATCTCAACCATTCATGTGTACCAGAATAGTTCCAGAGGAAGAAAATATAGATACTTGCGCCACGAGTTCAAAATATTCGAGGCAGATGTCTATACCATGCAATTGTGTCTAAAACATGGTGAGGGAGCTCCCGAGCGATAAGATGTTGGCTTTTGTTCATTGGACGTTTACCAGTCTTTAGTGAGAGCACTACGACACCTTCCCTCTATATCTTCAAGATATATCCAAAATTGAAACTGGTGTCTAAATAACTTTTTGATGAAGGCACTATGGTTTCGCGAGTATGTAGTAGGAAGATAATTTTGTCCTCAGCTGTCGATTTAGAAGATTTGAATGTTTCGAAAGCCCTATCTAATAGGAAGATACCCCTTTGCTTCTTTTCAATGAGCACTTGCTGTAATTCTTCCACAATTATATTAGTATCCAAAAAATATGTTTCTAATAGTTCATTAACGATTTTCTTAGGCTGTTGCTACATTCTACGCATTGTTTTTTCCACAATTTGGAGCTGATACAGAAATTCACTTTCAAAATTGTCTCAGATCTCTGTTGTATTCGATAAGACTTTTTGCATCATGCTAAGTTGTAGTTCCTTGGTTGATAGGAGGCTGTTTCTATGGAACGCCGTTTTACTTTTTATTGTCACAAATATTCATTCCTCAATTTATTCAACTAACAATGTATTTGTTTGAATTTAATTGATTCATGCATTTGTTCGACACATTAAAAACGATTGTTCCCAAAATTTGTTCTATTTTAAATGACACTTGATTTAAAATGTTACATGAATTAATTTGTTTGATGAAAAGTTGCGAACAGTTATAATATAGATTCATTGTTTGAAATTTTTGGAAGTAAATGTTTGTCATATATACTTTTTTTGTAACTATCGAATAATTTACTACAATTTCTGTGAAACATGAATAAAATGGTTTGTTGATAATTATAGTTACATGAATTAAAACGATTGTTGATAATTTTAATTCGGCGCTAGCGTCGAACGGATTCTTGCAGAAGCTGAATTTTTAAATCTGGCAACATGATAGTTTAGTGATAGTAACACAATATTCCGTCCGACCGCAGCGCCGAATAAAAATTATCAACAATCAATTTAATTCATGTATCACTGAAATTCAACAAACAAAATAATTCAGATCATTTCAAAGGAATATTAAAAAAAGTAAAACGGCGTGGCACGCCGTTTTACTTTCTATTGGTATTTTGTAAAAATGAATTGTTTTGATTGTTGCTTTTAGGTGATACATGAATTAAATTGATTGTTGATAATTTTTATTCGGCGCTGCGGTCGGACGGAATATTGTGTTACTATCACTAGACTATCATGTTGCCAGATTTGAAACTTCAGCTTCTGCAAGAATCCGTTCGACGCTAGCGCCGAATTAAAATTATCAACAATCGTTTTAATTCATGTAACTATAATTATCAACAAACCATTTTATTCATGTTTCACAGAAATTGTAGTAAATTATTCGATAGTTACAAAAAAGTATATATGACAAACATTTACTTCCAAAAATTTCAAACAATGAATCTATATTATAACTGTTCGCAACTTTTCATCAAACAAATTAATTCATGTAACATTTTAAATCAAGTGTCATTTAAAATAGAACAAATTTTGGGAACAATCGTTTTTAATGTGTCGAACAAATGCATGAATCAATTAAATTCAAACAAATACATTGTTAGTTGAATAAATTGAGGAATGAATATTTGTGACAAAAAAAAGTAAAACGGCGTTCGCGTTCCATATGTTTCTGTTAATTTTTTATCAGCCTCCATATCATTGTTTTTCAAAAATAGAACATTTTTTTGAGTAATAATACGGCGAAACAGGATCTGAACGAAATCATACATGGTGATTTCATGCTTCACCTGCATACGTTATAGAAATCCCAAAAGTTTCATTGTGAGAAGACAAATATTTTCTACGAATCTGCAACTGCACGTCAGTATTGAGAAAAACTTACCTGATTTAACAGACTCCTTGTCATCATCTTCGTCGCTATCGATGTGAGGTATCGATCCGACGAACTCGAACATGGGACTAGTCTGAATGGATGAGTCCTTTTTGGCGACAGGACTTCCGGGTAGTCTACAAGAGCACTGACACACACAAGAAACCACATCGTCCTCTTGCCGGTCCAACGGCAGATACTGCAGGCACTGCGGACACGGGAACGTGAGGTCGTCCAAAGGCACTCTTTTTATGGCGTGCTCGACGGATACCAGGAGGCTATGCAGCATCTCCGGCAAGTCCGTCCCGTCGTAGTCTTCGTAGGAGATTGTCTCCAGATTCGAAGCGGACCTGATGCTCGAACACATTATGTCATCTAAGGAATGTAGAGGATCTCGAAACTCGGCTACGGAGCGGCAGTAGATTTGGTGATGCTGACGCCAGGTTAGAGTCACCTCCAGGCCGGGGGAGCTGCGATTGCGGACGCAGAGGTAGCAGTCTCTATTTCGGAGAACGGACACGTTCAGCGGACCGAGGTGGATCACCACACCTGATTGGCCGAGGCAGAGTGGCCATCCTGATGGAGCAGTGGAGTCGGACGACTGTTCATTCTGAAACAAAAGATTCACTTGTGAACATTTGCCTACATTTCGAATACATTTTTGATTGACTATTTTACATCAAAAATCATGTTTGAAGAAAGTTACTCCTGAAGAACTTGTATACTTAAATTGAGAAGAGATACCATATGATTTTCCTGGACCACTACTTGTACCCTGAACAGTAGCGCCGAAAATGCATAGAAGTATCAAAAGGATGGGGTAGGAGGATAAAATGAGGTTAGGTAATGTCCAAAGTGAGTGGGTGTATTCGATTTTACGCAGCAACTCACGATGGTTTATTCTGACTCACATTTATTTGAAATCGACCAAAAAGTCAGTATTTTTACCGGAGAAGATTAGTTTGTCTCGAAATGGCAATAAACGTCAACTATAGTGACATTTATGAATCAAAGAAGTAACATTTTTGATGAATAGGCATTGAAAATCATTTGCTTTTTTCCATTAAAAAACATTGCTCTACATAAGCACTCAAGTAAAAAAAAAACTTTGATTTTGAATGCAAAAGAATGAAATATTCCTGATTTGTTGAAACGTAAAATTGAAAATAAACAACTCAACCTGAATACAGAGAAATGTAAGATTTTACACGTGAAATCGTTCCTATTATATTTGTTTATATACATGACAGAATCTAAGTATTTGAAAGTCCTCTTTCATTAAAAATTCACTCTTTTGAATCAAATTCATAATATCATTTCAAAATCTATAAAAAATCTGGAATTTACAATGGACCCTACTGTGAAAAAATTAACGAGTATCGATGTTACTAAAAACTGACATACTCGTCATTGTTAACGTCTTGTTCAAAAATTGATTATTGTTCAGAAAGCAAACATCGAAGGATGAAAAATATCACTTTAACGTTCACCTTATTTCAAAATATGACTATAGCACCAAAGACTGTTCTACAACGTCAATATTTCAAAGATAAGTTGTTCCTTACACAAAATATTTTATGTAACGACATAAAATTATCATAAAAGATCAGGTAGGTAATAATTACGTACTCTTGTCATTCATACGCAATAAAAAGTAATGAGAATTTCCTTGCGAATAAATTGCGTTTGATAAGACAACTATAAATCAATACCTTGCATAAAAACAGGTACGCTCAGTACTTCAGTCATTTCATTAACTATACATTACAGTAATCAATAGATCGCTAGAGAGAGTTACTAATGAAATGAGATGAATTACGATATAGACATAAACGGTGATAGAACTTAGACTATGCTTCCTGCAGAGAAATACAACAACCATTATATATTGAATAGCTGTCGGTAACAAAACGAAAATGAACCAAAGAATCCGAGATTTATGAGTAGAATTCGTAAGTATTGCTACTATCGTCAAACTTAAAAAACAGACCGTTTTGTTTTTGACCAATGCGTAATAATGACCAGATTCAACCCCAGAACCACAGTGAACTAATTAAACATGATAAAATAAAATTTCCTTATTTCTTTGAAATCTCAACAAACTCATTAAATGGTCACATAATGAAGTAATTACCTATTTCCGCATTAGATTCAGTATGTTTTCATGAGCTATTGATTTAAAAAAGTAGCTCCACTCATTGACTATTGGCAACTGTTTCACAGGTATAAAATCAAAGCGACACCTGTTGGTATTAATAATGATAATTATCCCAGGTCTTATTAGGCATCATAACATTCAAACGATGTTCTAATTAAGGAGTATGTTTACAATAATTACATTACAACCGACATTAACAAAACGAATAGCTCACTCATTAGAAGTTCTGCGAGTGCATGTGTTGACTCGTAATATCTGAATATTAGAGACCTTTCGCTGAACAACTGCGGGTTGCTTTTTTCGAGCGTTTGGTAACGCAAAAGTCGTGGTTGTGTTTTTGGAATGATACGGATTTTGAATCTGGTGATGTAGAACAGTCATTGAATTTCTGAAAAATTACACGTTTTGGCGAAAGAGCCGGGAAGAAAGGGAATTCTTAGTGAATAAAGAAGTTGGATATTTTACATCCGTTCAGGAGAACTGTAGTATTTTAAATTTATGCAAAATCCAAGCGAAGTACCAAACTATCGACTGATACATCTAATTACCAGTTCAGTATTTTTTTCTCAAGTGTATATGGCTTAAAATTATAATTACGAGATCTTGAACAAAAGCACACTTACTGTTGGAATATTGATGCATCAAAGGTTGTAAAATTTGACAAAATGGCGTGCCATAGAAGATACTGCGCTTCCCGTTCATATTATTCAGTAGTTATCAGTGTTTTTTTCTACGAAATGAATCTGCAACCAACTTCAAGTCATGATCGATTCTATCAAAGATGAAATCACCATAAATTAGGGTTACTTCATGAAAGGTTCCGATGATTTCAATATATTCTGATTCTGAGGCGAGAAAAAACACTCTATTATCGCACATTGATAACAAAATAATCACTCACTTACTTTGGCAAGTTAATTACAATCGCAACAAAGTTTTAGCAAAACTATCAATTAATTACAAGTACAACATTGAGATGAAAACAATATTATTGTTTATATCTATCCAGCTCATCACTGAGAAGAAAGCTATATTGGATTTGAAATGACGTCACCTTGTTTATCATAGTAACTTTCATTTGATAGCTATATCAAAGTGATATCGAAATGATAAATAACCATTTTATGACGTCAATCATAGTGGATTTTAAATGGCGTCACGTTTTTTATTGCATTTCGACCAGCATTTTATGGTGCCCGACATATTGAATTTGAAATAACGGCACTTGATTTTTGAGAAAGAAAGGTTTTGCCGACGTTAAGAATTTAATGAAATTTTTTTTCAGGGCTCTGTAACAATACATTTTCATAAACATACCTTCTACAAAACTTATACGATTATTATCGTTTCAATTCTACAAGAAATAATGAGTTTCTAATTAAATCACTCACCCAAAAGTAGTTTCTTCATGTTGATAATATTATTATTTTAAAAATCATCAGACATATTGAATACACATTAAATAAAAATAAAAAAACATTGCAAACAACCAAAATTTCCGAGACAACACAAAACGACATGAAACAAACGAATGGCTTAATCTGTGATTATAATTTAAACGAACTGAAATATCAGATACTTTTCATAGTTTTCATCCAAAACTAAAGTTTCCTCTTGAAATGGAAGAAAACAATTCGTTAGCATTTTTAGATACTAAAATAATCAAAGATGCAAACTGAACTTTGAAGGTAAACTGGTATCATAAACCCACTTTTTCTGAGACATTTTTAAATTATTTCTCGTAACATAACTTTCAGAATGAAATTAACATTATAGGGAATTTGAAATCAAGAGCAATTGCCATTTCCAATTCTTCCAATTCAATTAAATTTCCAATTTATTGATTATTATCTAGTAAAAAATAATTTTCCTAGAGCTTTACTGGAAAAATAATTAAAGAAAGGAGTTCCTCTTCCCAAAATACAGGGATGAAACCCAAATATCAAATATCCATTTGTCGAAATTGTATCTGATAAACTTGGGATACTACTCAGTACCGACCAAATTAAAGTAGCCTTTTCAAATGAGTTTACTAGAGCCTTTATTGGAAAAATAATTGAAGAAAGAAGTTCCTCTTCCCAAAATACAGGGATGAAACACAAATATCAAATATCCATTTGTCGAAATTGTACCTGATAAACTTGGGATACTACTCAGTACCGACCAAATTAAAGTGGCCTTTTCAAATGAGAACACAGTTGTAAAGCATTTTTTCTCGAAACAAAAAATGAAAACACCACAAGAAATACAATCCAATATGTGGAATCTGTCACAAATACTATGCTGGTCAAACCGGACGGTATCTTAAAACACGACTTTGAGGACACATGAGAGACTCTAAAAAACTGAATATGAACCCCACAGTCCTCGTTGAACATAAAAAAGAATAAGGACACATTTTTTATTTTTATCATCCAACTATTTTAGATGTTCAACCATATTTATCCAAAAGACTTGGGCGAAATGATACATATCCTCAAATGCGATAGTGTTAACAATAGAAGAGATGTCGATGGCCTTAATACTTCATATTTCAATTTGGTACGTGAAATGCCTGAATAATGAACCATTTTACATTGATTAAAAAACAGACACCACCTTTTCATAATCACAGATTGAGCCATTCGTTTGTTTCATGTCGTTTTGTGTTGTCTCGAAAATTTTGTTGTTTCAATGTTTTCAATATTTTTTTAATATTATTTTCATATGTTTGATGGTTTTTAAAATAGTAATATAATCAACACAAAGAAACTACTTTACGGTGAGTAATTTATTTAAGAACTTATTATTTATTGTGAAATTGAAAAGATAATAATCGTATAAGTTTTGTGAAAGGTATGTTTATGAAATTTGACATTTATTCGCTCATTTGAAGGAATCATTTGATTCATTGTGTGTTATCATCAGAAGCAAACGAATGTATGAAATTTCACCTCAATCAATCATAGCTGACTAGTTCAAAATTCAGTCATAAGATTTGTCTTACACTGATATAATGGAAGATCTTATATGAATGGATTTAGCTGTGACTCATTTGAGGAAATATTCTTCACGGATACCACTTGATCTAAAAACTTTCTGAGAAGAATATTCCTTCTTTTTTAACTCAAACTTACTTATTTTCGAGCAATACCAATCAAACAACCAGCATAATGAAAACACCTGGTTTCAATGCCCCTTGCTTTCATTATGCTGGTTGCTCTCAAGATAAATGACAAAATTTTCGTTAAAAAAAAGCAAATTATCGATGTATCTTTTAGGTTTTCTTGCTAATTTCCTATTTTCAACTAACAGTGTGTTATATAGTAATACCATGAGAACAACCATCAGCATTAACAACCATTAACAAAACTATAGTTCGAAGAAATATACATCTATCTGAATTTTTTTAGATCGAGTGCTATTCGTTGCTTTCATTATGCTGGTTGCTCTCAAGATAAATGACAAAATTT